ATTTTTGAATACTTTTAATATTGATGAAAGTAATACCAATGTTATATTAGATAGATCTCGTGAGAAACATCCATTGTGACAAGACAATAAATAAGATGAACGCGATATGAAAACGACGTCATTTGAGAGATACATCGGGAATAATTTTTTTAGAGACTTTCGTAGATTATCAATCACGATTGACCTTGAATGTCTAATATCAAGGCTTTCTATTGCCTTCTTTCTACATGCTTATTTATTTATTTTTGATGAACTAAAATTGATGATTTTTGAGTTTGAGTTGTCGTGCATAAGATAACTATCAGTGACGTATGAAAAATTCTAAATGGATAAATTCCATTAGTCTTTTTTCTCCAGAGTTTTACTCATTTTCAGAAATTTTAGTCTATAGTACAGTATCTAAAAACAAATTGAATAATGGCATTTTGCTCTGAAATTCTGTTAACTCATAGACATACTTGTAACTGGAATGCTATAAAAGTTTAATTTCAAAAGAATGTTTCTTCATCAGATATTAAAGCTCTAAAAATCACATGTATCCTACGAAAGATGAGAAAATCTTATTTTTCTTTAGAAATCTAATATCTTATGATGGAAATATTGAATTGATATGCAATGTTGAGATAATTCTAATTCTAATTAGACTTATTTATCGACTGAATTATCATCTCAGTCCTGTTATTCGGCCTGTTAATACAAGCCACACCAGAAGCTATATTATGCTTAAAGTCCGAACTTCAAAATGATTAATTATTTGGAATGGTATTTTCATAAGTTGTTGATATTCACTAGATTAGTGTTTTTTTCTTACCTGCAAATTCTCTACGTTTATTTTTAGAGATGTGCATCGAAGTCATTTTTAAGAGTGGTCGAAGCTCTCTAAATTATGTACTAGTCAATTAGGTTGAACACTAAAGATTTCTTCCGAATAGTGAGTTATTTTCTCAATTCACGTTTTCTCAGGACTTGACAACGGTGGGTAAAAGTCGGAGTCAAGTTTGATTTTGGCTTCTTCTCATGAGCTTGGATTTCACAGAGACACAAATCAAATTCTGAAAACATATCAATTTGTACAGTACATACTAAAGAATAAAACTTTCAATTTAAAAAACCTGTTATGTTAAATCTGTTTTATTAATGAGACATTTAGTTGATTCTGATGCGACCTTGATGTAAGTCTCTGGTTTACAGCGTGTTAATCAGTCTATGGATGAGGAAAACGATTGGGTTCAAATTTTGAATCTATACATTACAATACTACTTTTAGATCATGCTTTACAAAATTAGCATCTTTTTACATAGGAATTAGTTGTACCACATGTCATTTATTGTAGGTAATTATTATTTATTTAAGATCTTTCTATTCCATCCTAGTGATTATCCGAAGATAGGAAAATCTAATGAAAAAATAACAAATATATTTTTCCATCAATATTTGTTGTTTCATAGAAGCCATTTAAGCTACAATTCAACCGAATCATGTCAACTAATGAGTGTCGTAGCTGACACGAGATCTGAATCACGATACGTTACTGTTGTAAAGATATCTATCGATTTCACATTAGGTCTTTGCAATCCTATGTGAGTCTTGTATAGAACCTTTTACTGTGCTTATGATTGTTTTTTCTTTGAAACCATTTCCGAAAAGTATAGCAGATTCAAAATCGAATTCTGGATCATAGCATGTTGGACATACTTACATCCAACATATCTGTTGATAAATAGATTATGTCCTCTTTGGAGCACATCGTATGATAAATTGGTTTCTGCTCATATAGAAATCACATTCATACCCAAATAAGTAGACAGCTATAAGAATAAATCATTTATTCAAACAAATAGAAACGGTTACATTTAGTAATGAAATAATTTTTTTAAAGTTCGGAATTATTTCCGTTTCAAACCATCGTAGACGACGCCAGCAGCTGTGTAGCCAGTGCCAGCTCCAGCAACAGCTCCTGCGGAGCCACCAACAATCGCTCCAAGTGGAATAGGCATTACCAAATACCCCACAATAGCAGCTGCAGTTCCACCCGTTGTACCACCAACAATACCACCCATCAACTGTCCATATTCTTTGTTATCATTCGCAAGACCTATGTTCCCACCAACAACACCACCAAAAAATCCACCAACAGCACCACCGACAGTACCACCATAAGCTATTGGACATGCCATGTTGTTGTTTGATCTATTCAGAAAAATGTTGGCATGAATTAATAGTAACTGAATTCTTAAGACAAGATTTCTAAGGATTCAATATCTCACTTAGAATCTTATAATTCTGGTCAAGCAGGTGAACACTAACAAGATGACGTATGATCTGTATATTTTTCGTCTTGGACTAATTTCATTAAAGGGTTCTTATGAGCACAGTATAGACTTGAAGAAAAGAAGTCAGTTGGAGTAGATCCTTTATCAGCTAAGTGATAAAAAAATAGTATTTACCTGATGATTAATTGTGAATGAAGTCTTTGCGAGTATCGATAAATACTAAGTGTGTTATATCATATATTATCTCGTCTTGTATACCCTCCATATCTATTGCATTCGTCATCACTTGGAATTTTCATAAGATAATGAACTAGTATTAATGTATCTATTGCAGTCGTCATTAGTTGAAATTTTCCAAGAGAGCGAATCAGTGTCGATAACACAAACAATTCATTGAAAAAAACCCAATAGATTTAGATAAAGAAAACAAGACGAGAAGGAATCGAAGAAAAGAATACGCAACGATACTAGACGGCTGTCATAGAATTATCCAACAGATATGGATGAAAAAAAAACAACTGAAATGATTCAGCAGAATTTACTTATATCTTATGTTAGTAGTGACTCATACTCTTGGAAAAAGCTCGATTTATTATGACTGCACTCAATAGAAAATATATAAAGGGTGATATGTGAATAAAAAAAATAGTCTCAGTGTTTTTCGACAATTCCAAACACTTATTTCAAAATTGATAACTACGTAAGTAGCTGAATAACAAACTCGTATAATTAATTCTATAAATTCTAAGAATATATCTGGCTTTACTAATATGTTCATTGTTTAAGATTAAAGTAAATTGAAGCAGAGTTTTTATTTTTTGTTGGAGTTGAGATACAATCATCTCTATTTTTCTTTAAAAGATAAAAAACTTTTTTCATAAGTGTTAAGAGACGATATCTATTATTCCAACTATCTGAATAGTCTTATCTACTTTCTAATGTTCTTCTGTTATTGTTTTCATTTGCTTTTTACGAATCGATGGATATGTATTCATATCGATTGATACGAAATGAAGTTGCTGTTGTTAGTGGTTTCGTTGTTCCTTTTTTTATAGTATTCTTTTCTTATTGCTTTCTAGCTTAGTTTTGTTTGTTATTAGCCATTTAGCTTCTTTGAAATAAATTCGTACAATAATAAAATAGACTAAAAATTTCTTTCTTTACGATATCTTGTGAATATATTATTAAATCTATTAGTTTTTTTTAACTACGTACTCGAAGTTACTGTTCGCTGTTAAATAACATATAATTTTCTTGACAGGTAAACTGAACAATATGGCTTTGAATCCTTTGACATGTGGCTTCGTGGTGGGTGGCGCTACTGGTGGTTTAGCTGGTGGAATCGGAAAGTTCATCACCGATGACAAGGCTGCAGGCCAGTTGGCAGGTGCTGTTGCTGGTGCTGTAGTAGGTGGATGTGCAGGTGGTTTGATTGGTGCTGCAACGGTTGGTACTGTCACTGCAGCAATGGGAGTACTTGGCGGTGGTTCTGCTGGAACTATAGCAGGTTCCGTATTAGGATATTTCACTGCTGAAATGACATATAAAGCAATGTCCGAAGAAAAATAAATGAATACTCTCTGTTTATCATGATAATTTGTTTCATTTTCATTTGAATTGCTGTTTGCCCTATATTATTTATTTTAAATATTTTCTGCATTGGTGTATAGATAATAGAAGCAACAATAACTGATTTTGACCAAGCTCAATTCGTCTCATCAGATATCTCATATCTCGATTGACTTCGTGTTTCAAGAAAGAACTAAAATCTGAATTGATTGTGCGACTGAAGTATTATGAGTGTAACATTCAAAATTATCTGTTTTCTAAAACGATTGATTTATGCTGGCAGTAAGGTTGGTTTCCATGTTGAACCATATGAGATAGTGACTTTCATGATTTTCTCGATTGCTTTCATTCAGTTTGATCATTGTATATAATCTTGTCCCTTTTTTTTATACTATTTAAGTAAGGTGATCCTTGTTGAATGGAAATTGCTTTTGTATGATCGGTTTTCAATTGGGTATGACAATGTTCATGTCCTCCCTTACGAACACATTTTATGAGATCTTAATCTCATTTGTACTTTATTTTCATAACGATATATCTATTTGCAATCATAATTGTCTTCTCAACAACGTAACACTCGATATAAAGTGAAAACAAGGAGTGAAAAATCTTTAATGGTAGATCCGATAGAAACATCTATGACAGGCAAGCACTGATTCACCATATATTCATAGATGCAGGAAAGAAAAATCCATGACACATAAGCTAACAACAAAAGAACAGAACAAGAACATAAAGGCATATGTATAATCATATAGATACAGAGGGAAAATCCTTATGACCTGCATCTTCTTCAGATGTAGGTCATAACATGCTCCAATTTGAAATTAGCATAATTTAATTCTTGATTGAAAAGAGTTGTTAGTTTAATATACATCCAAAAGAAAGAATGCTTTACGTATTCATTAAGAATGACTCTTCGAATTGATCTTCTTTTTAAATGTTTAATTGCGCGATAAGAAATTTCGAATATCTTTTATTTAATCTCTTTTTAATAGTAAGTTAACTCGAACAAATGATAACAAAAAATCTTAGAAATAAAAAAACAAACAAATATCGTTAAAAAGGAATAAGAACATTTATATGTTGTATGATTTTTATTTTTTAAATTATGATAAAATAAAAGTGTTGTTTCAATTTCAGGTAGTTTATTATGATTAGTAGTACCATGATCCTGATGATAAAGTGGGTAGCGAATCTAGATAAATAAATTTAAATTTAAAATCTAGAATTTTTTATAACTAAGCACACCTTGAGCTTGTTGTTGTTTTATTTGATTATAATTCGGTTGATGTTGTTGTTCAACTGTTCGACTTGATTGCCATTGATGTAAATCTTCTACTGAATATACATTATAAACAAATAAAAAGAGAAATCAAAGACTTTACATCGAATAATTAATTTACCTGGATGAATATTTTTGTTAGGTTTTCTCATTGTTTCGAAAGAGTTTGCATGTAATTGTCCTGAATATGATATGAACAAAAATGAATTCAAGAAATTTTACTTTTACCAGTTTGTGACCATGGTTGAATGTGCCACGGTACCAACGGATCAGTAGCAAAACCGTGAGTAGTTTGTAGTTTTGAGTCATCAAAATCTTTCCATTGACTTGTTGGATCTATGGTAATTTTGAATTATGATATAAAATTAATTGAGAAAGAAAGAGAAAAAAAAACGTTACTTTGATATTGTTGATTGTTTGACCATGATTGCATATGTTCCAATGAATTTTCATTAAGTAAATCTAAAATAATAAAAAACACAATATTTTGTAAACAAAAAAAAGAGAGTCAATCAATATACCTTGTTGTTGTTGTTGATCTAAGCCATATTGACTATTTGGTATTTGAGAAGAAGTATCAGCGATTGAAGATTTTTTATATTGGTCTAAAAATATAATATTTCATATGTTAATGTGAAGTTACAAGATTCTATAAGTTACTTTGTAATCGCAATTGAGGTTTTAGAATTAGATCATGTTTTGATATTTCTATTATGAAAATAAATAAATTTATAATATAAATCATAGAAAGTTTTTACTTTGCCATGGTTTTAATTGAAATGCAATATGATGATGATCAAATTCAGATTTTATTGGTTGATCTATAATCAATTAAAATTATAAATCTAATATAAACATAATATATACTTTGAAATTGTTGAGTGAGAAATTTATTTTGCGATAATTGTACTGGTTTTTCATGATTTTGATTGGGGAAATCTAAATCTAATAGATAATAATGTTAGAAGAATTAATGAGTCCATAGACATGCCTTGTAAATGCATGAATTTGTATGGTTGTGTGGTTGTTTCAACGAATGTTTGTTGGTTACGATCTATAATATTCAAAATAGAATTTAAATTTCGAAATTTAATTACAAGAAAGTTTATACTTTGTAATTGCTGTTGATTTTGAGTAGTATCAGATCCTGATGAACAAGAAGAAGTATATGAATTTTTCGTAAGAAAGAATTTTACCTTGTGTTGATTGAGTAAAAGTATGGTGATAATCTTGTGGTTCTCTTTCTGGTATTTGATCTAATTTACAACAAGAATCATTTCGAATAAAGTTTGTTCCAAGACTTACTTAACCATTGTTGAGTACCAAAAACTGGATTTGATTGTGGAAGATCTAAATAAATAAACAATATTTTGATAGATTAAATGAAAAAAAGTGAAGTACATACGTTGCTTTTGTTGTTGTTCATCGATTTGCACTTTTTCTCCTTCTATATGAAACAATATAGCTAACAAGAGAACCGTTCGGAGTGATTTACTGCGCTTGCTATTATATTTTATCCACAAATAAAAGGTTTGTATAGTAGAAAAAGTCGAAGAAAATATCGGTACATGTTGCGATATGGAAGTGTTACTAAAATTTTGTTCGAATGAAGATCTTCACTAGACTAACTTATAAGTAACTTATCAAAAGCAGCATGACATTACTGAGTTATGCATTATTCAAAATAGAGGCGTTTTTCAATAGGTATTCTATACAACATGGATATTTTGAAAAAATTATATCATCATAATGTTACACTGAAATGCTGTGAAATTTTTCTTAGAAACTAGTCTAGTTAAGATTTAGATTTCACCGAAGACTAAAGATCCTACAGAAAAGCTCTGGTTAACATTTCCATATCTTCTTAGGCTCTTTGTATTTTACAGGATTTCTATTGTTTAGACAAAATATGAAGACAAACGTGGTAAACCACTTCAAGAGGTTTTATTTTGTAAATGTTTTGTTTTGATTGAATAATATTAAATATTGAAAATATGTAATAGAATTATTTTAGATAATAAATAGTTATTTACTTTGTAATTGATCATTATTCGAATCAGTAGATGAATGTAAAGAATATGTTGGTGTCCATTGTTGATTTTCTACAGATTGACTAAGAAAACTTTGTTCTTTTGTTACTGGAGATCGTTCACTGTCAGTTAATGATGTTCCAGATTGAATAAAATTTTGATGTATTTGATCTAGAATCATATAAACAATGTTTTTTCCCTTGTTAATAATAAACTAAAGTATATAACGAACTATTTCCTTTATTTTGCCATGATTGTTGATTTTCATCATCTATTTAAAAAATAATACAATATTAAATGAATAAATAGAGAGAAGAAACGATAAAATATTCATACTTTGTTGTCCATGTTCAAAATTATGATTTTGTTGTAGTCCTATTTTGAAAAACAAAATAAATAAAATTTATATTAACATAATTATACTTGTATTTAAACGATTATTATTATCCATTGATGTTTCCTCAAGAGTACTTGGTTTTGGTTGTTGTTGAGTTTGAAACGATTGAGAATCTATTTTCAATAATAAATGAAGGAAAAACTTTAAAAAGAGAATTTTTACTTTGCCATCTTTCTGATAGTGCAAGAAAAGGTTGAGTATTTTGTAGATAGAAACTAGCTGATTGTGGCGTTCGATTTTCAGTTAATCCAGTAGCTGATACATTTAATCGAGATTGTTCTTGTTCTTGTTCCTGTTCTTGTTCTTGTTCTTGTTCTTCTTCTTCTTCTTGTTCTTGAGAATTTTGATTTGAAAAATCTAAATAAGAACGAATAGAAATTTATAAAAAAAACCTCAATAAATAAACAAACAAACCTTGTGAATGAACTACATTTTCTGCTGTTGTAGTTGTGTCAAAAAACTTTTGTTGCTTTTGACCTATGACATTCGATAGAATTAGAATTAATAGATGTAAAAGAGAAAAAATTATACCATATAACGATGGTCTAAATTGATGAACTTGATAACCTAATCAATGAAAATAAACCATGAGAATTTCTTTTTTAAAAAGAAACTTACCATGCCATGATTGTGGTTGTACAGCAAAATTTTGAGTATTCTTTGTATTTGAATGAATTTTTTTGGCGAGTTGACTGAGAGTAAACTGGTTTGTTGGTATTTTTGGCCATGATTGGATTGGTTTTTCATGGTTTTGATTATGAAAATCTAAATGATAGATAAAAGTATTACGCGATTTAGTGAAAATATAGACAAACTTTGTAAATGAATCAATTTGTATGGTTGTGTAGTTGTTTCAACGAATGTCTGTTGATGTTGATCTATAACATTTAAAATAGAATTTGTATTTTAAAGTTTAATTGAAAGAAAGTTTATACTTTGAAATTGTTGTTGATGTTGAGTAGTATCAGATTCTAATTAACGAGAGTATTTATACAAATTTTTTTATACAGAACA